TCCCATGGTCTTCTGGTGCTGAACGCTGCTTATAATCTTTCAATACTCAATAGAATGGCAGTAGAATGAGCAGAAGAATGAGCAGTAGAATGCGTAGCAGAGAATGAGCAGTAGAATGAGCAGTAGAATGCCAGTAGAATGCCAGTAGAATGGCAGTAAAAGGAACAGTAGAATGAGCAGTAGAATGGCAGCAGAATCAGCAGAAGAATGAGGAGTAGAATGCCAGTAGAAGGAGCAGTAGAATGAGCAGTAGAATGAGCAGTAGAATGTGAAACTACTGCTCATTATACTCCTCATTCTACTGCCATTCTACTGGCATTCTACTCCTCATTCTTCTGCTCATTCTACTGCCATTCTACTGCTCATTCTACTGCCCATTCTACTGCTCATTCTACTGCTCCTTCTACTGCTCCTTCTACTGCCAGAAGAATGAAAAGCACTAAAGTGCAAACCCTCGGCGAACTGCGCATGCGCGGTACCACTAATTGATGGGCTGGGCTTTTCTTTTCTATTCGTTGTATCCCGCCAGTAGCTCGCGGAGAGCCTGGCACGGGCTAGCTAGAGTAGTAGATTGCATGCGGGAGTTGATACATGCCTTTCGTTGTGACTTCTTGTGCCTTCAAGATACACAGAGCGAGCGGAAGCGGTCGAGGTAAGCCTGTGCTAATTACCATATTGGCTTGTTCACTTGGTTTTCACACCATAACTTTAGAACGCAGTAGTTTTAACGAAAATCGCCTTTTTAAAAATCAACCCAGTGTAGTACTGAACCCGATCATATCACTATTTACCTGATTTCGTGCGCGCGGTGGCAGAAAACGTGGTAAAAGACAGACGGACAGACAGACAGACACACTTACGAAACAACTACCGTAACCCTCGCTGCGCATGCGCGCCGAGGGTTAATGAGGAGTAGAATGCCAGTAGAATGAGCAGTAGAATGTGAAACTACTGCTCATTATACTGCTCATTCTACTGCCATTCTACTGGCATTCTACTCCTCATTCTTCTGCTCAATGAGCAGTAGACTACTGTTCATTATACTGCTCCTTCTACTGCCATTCTACTCCTCATTCTTCTGCTCATTCTACTGCTCATTCTACTGCTCATTCTCCTGCTCATTCTACTGCTCATTCTACTGCTCATTCTACTGCTCCTTTTACTGCCATTCTACTGGCATTCTACTGGCACTGGCACCTCGGGCCGTGGGGTCGTATGAGCAAGCATATTGCTAAAGATTAATACTGCCATTCTTCTGCTCATTCTACTGCCATTCTACTGCTCATTCTACTACTCCTTCTACTGCCATTCTACTGGCAGTCTACTCCTCATTTTCTGCTCATGCTACTGCCATTCTACTGCTCATTCTTCTGCTCATTCTACTGCTCATTCTACTGCTCATTCTACTGCCATTCTACTAGCATTCTACGGGCATTCTACTGCTCCTTCTACTGCCAGAAGAATGAGGAGTAGAATGCCAGTAGAATGAGCAGTAGAATGCCAGGAGAATAGCAGTAGAATGAGCAGTAGAATGAGCAGTAGAATGGCAGTAGAATGAGCAGAAGAATGAGGAGGAGAATGCCAGTAGAATGGCAGTAGAAGGAGCAGTAGAATGAGTAGTAGAATGAGCAGTAGAATGAGCAGTAGAATGTGAGCAGTAGAATGAGCAGTAGAATGGCAGGAGAATGAGCAGTAGAATGAGGAGTAGAATGAGCAGAAGAATGGCAGTAGAATGAACAGAAGAATGAGCAGTAGGATGACAGTAGAGAATGAGCAGTAGAATGGCAGTAGAATGAGCAGAAGAATGAGGAGTAGAATGCCAGTAGAATGGCAGTAAAAGGAGCAGTAGAACCTCGCACCTCGGGCCGTGGGGTCGTATGAGCAAGCATATTGCTAAAGGGGGGATTGATACAATGCGTGCATGAAGTGACTGCGGCATGCATACATGAGATTAAGTCAATGCTCACAGTATACTGGAGACTGGGATGAACAGGCTTCAATACAATATGTGCAACTAACAGTAGCTAGACAGTTGCATGCATATGTAGTAGACTGGCAGTAGAAGGAGCAGTAGGATGAGCAGTAGAATGAGCATAGAATGGCAGTGGAATGAGCAGAAGAATGAGGAGTAGAATGCCAGTAGAAGGAGCAGTCAGTAGAATGAGCAGAAGAATGAGCAGTAGAATGAAACTGACATACACAAGCTTGGGCATTTACACTTCACACAACCAACCGACAGTAATGATTGTTGCCATCATATACCACTTACATTGTGCGAATTTCTGCCGCCAGGAGGGGAGTCCTTGGATGTCTCAGGTGGATCCTATGTGTAGAATGGGCAATAATAGTAATTGATTGCTGCCATCATATACCACTTACAGTGTGAGAAGTTTTTCTGCCGCCAGGAGGGGAGTCCTTGGACGTCTCAGGTGGATCCTAGTGTAGAATGGGCAATACTAATAACGATTGCTGTCATCATATCATCATTACTTTCACCTGCTAGGAATAAGAAGGGAGCCTTATTATTTGTACTTGTATAGGCAAGCGCTAGTTGGTGTACTTGCCTATACGCTTGCCTATACAAGTACAGTAGTTATATTAAAGTACACCACCCAAGAATCTTCCATCCACTCTTTCGTGCAATTTTCTGATCGTAACACTCGGTCCTCATCTCACCTCAAACTGAAACATTCCCTGTCAAAATCAACCACGGAAGCTCATCTCTTCTTCAATCGTCTACCACGGCTCTGGAACTCTCTTCCCCCAATAAACATCGATCTCTCCATCTCTACAATAAAGGCCCATCTCCATAGACTATTCTGGATGAAATTCCAATCCCACTTTGTCAGTTCAAATCCATGCTCTTATCACTACCAATGTCCATGTCCGAAGTGTGTTAGTATGTCTATAGTGCACTCATTCTCCTCCTCTCAGTTATAGGACACCAGATTTGTCTGGTGCTCCTTCGGTACATGCTTTTATTCATATCACCCATCCCGTTTTTCCCCCCCGTCCTTATCTATTCATGTACTGTAAAGCAGAGATAATAATAAAAATAATTTTAAAAACACTACCAACACACCTTACTGGTATAACATATGGCCTTCCCACTTTTGGGTAGAATCCCAAAGTACTGCTCCCACCGTCACCTTCACCTTCACTCATATTTTATGCAAGCGCAAATCACGCCTAGCGCGCATCACGCCTAGCGCGCATCACGCTAGCGCGCGCGCCTAGCAACAGCCACGTGTGTGTATATATAGGCGTGCCCGCCCAAGGCTAGAAGATCACGTGAGAGTTAACCCTTCTACTGTGTGTTCAGCAGAAGAGCGAAGTACATGTACGTGTGCACAATGGCTTGTCCTGATATAGACGATAGCGATGTTGTCCTCTGCTCACAGCAAGCAGTTCCCCGTTGTAAAAAGGTAACTTTTTGGTAAACTGGCTGCTCTGATCAACTGTTGTACTGATTGTATTTCTCTCTTAACTCCCGAGCTAGTCTCGTGACACCAGACGTTTCTCTGTTGTGGGGGGAAGGGGAGAAACGTCTGGGCACTCTGGGCACAAATGAGCAGAAGAATGAGGAGTAGAATGCCAGTAACGTACAGGTCTCTCATGAGCAGTAGAATGGCAGTAGAATGAGCAGAAGAATGAGGAGTAGAATGCCAGTAGAAGCAGCAGTAGAATGGGAGTAGAATGCCAGTAGAAGGAGCAGTATATACTCTAGACCCTCAATCGTGGTTGTCATGCCATCACTCTCTGCATCACTCCCACTCTCACTTCCTGCCTCACCTTTGCCCTTTCCGCTTTACTCCTCATTCTACTGCTCATTTTCCTGCTCCTTCTACTGCCATTCTACTGGCATTCTACTCCTCATTCTTCTGCTCATTCTACTGCCATTCTACTGCTCATTCTACTGCCAATCAACTGCTCATTTTACTGCTCATTCTACTGCTCCTGCTCATTCTTCTGCACATTCTACTGCCCATTCTATAATGCTCATTCTACTGCCATTCTACAACACTGATAGTACCAGTAAAAAAAGTCTTATTAATAGTGCCAGGAAAAGTCTTATTCCTGTAGTTTCCTCACCAGGTAGAAACTGTGATCATGCATGTGATGCAACTGTCATCATTGATAGTAGCAGTAAAACAACTTTCATCATTGATGGTATATAGAATGAGCAGTAGAATGAGTAGTAGCATGAGCAGTAGAATGGCAGTAGAATGAGCTGAAGAATGAGGAGTAAAATGCCAGTAGAATGGCAGTAGAATGAGCAGTAGAATGGCAGTAGAATGAGCAGTAGAATGGCAGTAGAATGAGCAGAAGAATGAGCAGTAGAATGAGCAGTAGAGAATGAGCAGTAGAAAGCCAGTAGAATGCCAGTACAAGGAGAAGTAGAATGAGCAGAAGAATGAGGAGTAGAATGCCACTAAAATGGCAGTAGTAGAATGAGGAGTAGAATGGCAGTAGAAGGAGCAGTAGAATGATCAGAAGAATGAGGAGTAGAATGGCAGTAGAAGGAGCAGTAGAATGATCAGAAGAATGAGGAGTAGAATGGCAGTAGAAGGAGCAGTAGAATGAGCAGCAGAAGAATGAGGAGTAGAATGGCAGTAGAAGGAACAGTAGAAGGAGCAGAAGAATGAGCAGTAGAATGAGCAGAAGTTTACCCAATGCACGCCAAGGATTTTGTACTTTAGTGCTCTAATGTCCTGTGGTGGGAGCTAGGGGGGCAAAATACCATTACACAAATTGCATACATATTTACTAGTAAAGAATGACACATCCTGTACTGAGTTTTTTTTCTTGCAGGCTTGCATTGACGCTGACTTTTTGTACGTTGGTCTGCGTGTCTATCATTTGAAAGCAAAACTTGACACAGCCCCAAGTCGGTTTTCCTTCGGAAGTTTTACCCGTACCAGTTTTTCTAGCCTGGAGATGCAAATACGATAAAGAGGATATATGATGGAGTTAGCAGATGCAGAGGTGGGTCGAAGGACTGGATATAAGGCTGATGGAAGTTTTTTAAAAGTTGGTTGGAGTAGAAAACGTGTGTGTACATATATGAACACAAAACGCAACATGCACATGTTCACCAAACTCATTTTCGCAAATTGGAGGTGGCATTATAATTAATGTAACAAGGGGAGAACTTGAAAAGTGCGCGGACAAGTGCATCACTATTCTTTGCTGCCTTTCTTCAAGGACAATGAGGAAGTATTGAAGATTATAAGCATCGTTCAGCACCAAAAGACCATGGGATCAAGTCGGACATTGTCGAGTTGCAGGAGAATTGTGGATGGTAAAAAAAGAGACAAAAACACACCATTGAATGCTCAGGCCAAATTGTTTACCAATTGGAGTGAGAATGATTGGACTAAAAGATTGGTGACTGGACTTCAAAAGATGCTTCCCAATCATAACGTAACATACACGGCTGAATGGGGGGACTCAGTGGGATAAATATTTGCTGACCCGTCTTGGTGTAAAAGAGATTGGAGCAGCAAATTATTTCTATTTCGTGGTTCTCCAGACATCGTAATTGGAAACAACATTTGGCAAACCTTGGCATCTCTGGAAGTACATCAAACGACTCAAGCAGTGAGGATGAGTTAATAGAGACTCACATCAACGTCTCCAATGCAAGGCGCATCCATTTTTGAGCTGCCTGAAAAAGTGGAGAAGTGTTTGAGGGTTTGCACATTTTTCTAGTAAGTAAACTTCTAAAAAGAATTCAAAAAGGCAAGGCTTATTGATTCGAAATATGAAGTGAAAGGACGTCTAATTGACAAGCTATGGGTTCGATATTATGTGTACTCAAACTTGAAATAGTGAAGGAGAAATCAGTATGGAGTTGTGCCTGACTACTAGTGCGAGAGGGATTTAGAACCAAGCCAACTGTGCACAGAAGTAAAGACTTTGGTTAGACAATAGGGTAGGGTGTACTACCCTAACACACTCATTTGGTTGTGCTATCTGTAACGAGTTCTGTATACACACAGTTTCTTGTAAACATTTCAGAGAATTGCAATGAATGAAATTGGGTTGGTACTACAGTACAATGCAATGACTGTTATAGGAAAAAAACAACTTATCCACTGGTGGTTGATAAGTTACGATGGTGTGTCTAACTGACGCAGCAAGTAAGCATGTACGGAAGCCCATTGAGGTCATCCATTGCAATTGACAATTTTGGCCATTTCCATTCCCCCACCCACATACCGTAAGGTTCCAAAATGAGCAAAAGAGCCTCAGGATGGGGTCAGCTAATGCAAAACGTAGTTCTGCTTCATTCTCTATGCTCCTCCTGAGCATACTCAGATTCATCCAAGTTTCACTTTCACATTTTGCAATAGCAGGAATCAGAGTACGACCCTTAACTTGTTTCGAGGAGTAGAATGGCAGTAGAATGAGCAGTAGAATGTTGTATTGTCATATACTATTGTAGGTTAAAACTGGAGGAGACTGTAAAACACTCCAGAAAAGAGGCCGAGCCTACACAGGCCGAGCAGCATACACTGATCAAGGGTACCCCGTCACCACCAACACCACCCACTCCTGGTCGTAGCACAGCAGAGGCTGTGACTCCGATCAAGGGTGGTGCCCTGCCACTACCAACACCACCCACTCCTGGTCATAGCACAGCAGAGGCTGTGACTCCTGATAGCAAATGTGATTACATTGTGTACACAGTGAGGAAGGAGTCCCATGACGAGGTGGTGGCTGTGTTGATCGAAACAAAAACTACACAGCATCCAAAGTTTAAGCATGCTGTAGCCCAGGTAACTTCACTAGTCCCCTTGCCTGCAGTGTTGTCCAAGATTGCCATCACTTGTCCCAAGAAGCCCCTATCCTTACTACTAGACTAGGGACTAGTGATGGTATTCTTGGACATAAAGTGGTCGCCTTAGTCCCTTCTAATGGGTACAGTGCACTTAATATTTTTGTTTCATATCTACAGGTACTTGGATACTTTGTCGCATACACTTCTGAAATGGGAAATCCTCCCTTAGTTTTTGTACTTTCTGAGAAAGATTGCTCGATGCTTCTTTTCCCTTTTATAAACGGTGGGGGTGACCTGGTCGAATGTGTGCTACTACCAGAGATACCGATTTGGGCTAATAAAACGGAGGAAGGAGCCCTCCTAAATAGGCATCTTTTGGTGGTGATGCTGCTGCTTTGTGGTGGCCGTGGCGAGGGTGATGCAATCAATTATTTGCAATATAAGTATGAGTATCCTTGAGATGGCACAAAGAAATCAGTCATTAAGGAAAAGATACAGACTGTACGGGAGAATATGACTGAATTACTAAAGAAGGTGGAAAGGAAGTTACAGGAAGAGGGAGAGGAGGCGAAAAGGAAGTTACAGGAAGAGAGAGAGGAGGCGAAAAGGGAGGCGGAAAGGAAGCTAGAGGAGAAGGATAGGGAGATTACCAGACTTTCCATTCTGCTACCTGCATTTTCATCCTATTCTACTGTGTATGTTTCCATTTTACTCACTTCAATTGTATTATTCCATTCTACAGACTTCTTACATTCTACAGCACAATGACTTAGTGCACCCTCTCATGCATGCACTACGTCGGAGTTAGCGTTAATTAAGAAAGCATAAGACAGTTACATTACTGCAACCAGCCCAACAGAGGTCCATGTTTAGACATGTGTATATCCATAATTCTATATTTTTATCCTAGCAGGTTACCATTTTTAAACTGAAGGAAGGCACAAAGCATCGCACAGTCTAAATGAGGTTGTAGCTAGATTAGATGGTGTACTTGCTAGCAGTATGGGGCAAATTAACACTCTAAGTGAAAGCTTAGTAGTCATAAGCTATATATCGCACAATATAAAATGGGTATTATGTTAGAGTGTAGCTTAAGGGTGTCATGCTGATGCTTCAGTAACACGGTCTTAATTCAACAACCCGTATGGTTGCAGCATGCAACACTAGCTACCTTGCACCATTTGAAATGTATTTCGACCTGTGCAGTGTCAATCAGGCATTGTCTTGGGACCTTTTGAAAAAACTGGTTTCATGGTGCCAGCACCAAGGTCGAGGTTACACCTGATCATGAGTGGGAATCCATCTGGGCATTATGCATATAAAAACTTAAGTTGTTTTTCCAGCCTTTCTTTTTCTCTTCATCGCAGAAAATAATGTCATGTGCAGCTATGTGATGTAATATGTACAGCTCAGTTATTACTTTATACTCTCCGACGTATATAGCGCATTCATGAGAGAGGATGTTGTAGAATGGAAGAAGTCCGTAGAATGGAAGAGATAAAATGGAAGTAACCGGTAATAGGATGGAAGTTGCCAAAGTTGTCAATTGCAATGGATGACCCCTATGGGCTTCCGTAGCTTTGCGCGTGCATGGCGATGTCACATTCTACTGCCATTCTACTCCTCATTCTTCTACTCATTCTACTGCCATTCTACTGCTCATTCTACTGCTCCTTCTACTGCCATTCTACTGGCATTCTACTCCTCATTGTCCTGCTCATTCTACTGCCATTCTACTGCCAGAAGAATGAGGAGTAGACCTGCAGTAGAATGGCAGTAGAAGGAGCAGTAGAAGGAGCAGTAGAATGGCAGTAGAATGAGCAGTAGAATGAGCAGTAGAATGGCACTAGAATGAGCAGAAGAATGAGCAGTAGAATGAGCAGTAGAATGGCAGTAAAATGAGCAGTAGAAGGGCAGTAGAAGGAGCAGTATAATGAGCAGTAGAATGTGAAACTACTGTTCAATATACTGCTCATTCTACTGCCATTCTACTAAGGAGCAGTAGAATGGCAGTGGAATGAGCAGTAGAATGAGCAGTAGAATGAGCAGTAGAATGGCAGTAGAGTGAGCAGTAGAATGAGCAGTAGAATACCAGTAGAATGGCAGTAGAAGGAGCAGTATAATCAGCATTCTACTGCTCATTCTACCGCTCATTCTACTGCTCCTTCTACTGCCATTCTACTGGCATTCTACTCCTCATGCTTCTGCTCATTCTACTGCCATTCTACTGCTCATTCTACTGCTCATTCTACTGCTCATTCTACTGCTCATTCTACTGCTCATTCCACTGCCATTCTACTGCTCATTCTACTGCCATTCTACTGCTCATTCTACTGCTCCTTCTACTGCCAGAAGAATGAGGAGTAGACTTGCAGTAGAATGGCAGTAGAAGGAGCAGTAGAATGAGCAGTAGAATGGCAGTAGAATGAGCAGTAGAATGAGCAGTAGAATGGCACTAGAATGAGCAGAAGAATGAGCAGTAGAATGAGCAGTAGAATGAGCAGTAGAATGGCAGTAAAATGAGCAGTAGAAGGGCAGTAGAAGGAGCAGTATAATGAGCAGTAGAATGATGTAATACACATGCACGCCAACCTCCATGCGTGAAGAAGTGGTTTTAAAGAAAATTGCCTGAGGCCTTTTCTAACAATATGCGGTCGTCATGGAAACATGTAATCGTCATGGAAATGATATAATAGGCATATGTACTAAGTTTCATCTCTATGCGTGCTACCATTGGAAAGTTTGAGAAGTGAAGAAGTTAATTTAAAGAAAAGTGCCTGAGGCTATTTGTTGTTGTTTACAAACATGTGTTGTTGTGATTTTTTATGTTGGTGATTGAATACATTATGTCTACAAAGTTTCGTTCACATAGCTGTTACCAATTGTGAGTTACACTGACACATGTAGTATGCCCATTATAACGTATTGCCCATTATAATCTATTGCCTGGGGCAATTTTGTTGTTGTTTACGGTAAACAACATTGTTTACAAACAAAAAAGTATGACGTTGCACATGTGGTTATCGATATGTACATTCCTACAAAATTTTTATGGCTTTATCTCTTTCGGTTTTTGGGTTATGCTGGTTGAAGAAGAAGAAGAAGAAGAAGATGATGATGATGAACAAAACTCCCTATCATAGCCCCATACATCTATGATGCTAGGTACCATGTCAATCCCTATATACTAAGTACTACCGTACTTAGTGACAAGATATCACCAAACTTACTTTGACAGTCATCTGGTAGTATGCTCCTGTAGGACAGAAGAGCATCTATGCAGGAATAGAGGTACAGTATAGGCAGGGAAGTGTAAGACCACCAAAACAAACCTGAAGTAGCAACATAATCCTTTATATCACTTTTTATTTCTTGCGCTGCAAACTCTGATTTGGTGCTCCCTAAATCACAATGACATTGCAATATGCCAACCTTTAGTGCACCAACTATATCACACCTTTTACTTCAAAAGAACACTTTGCTGTTTGGGACATTGCACTAACAAAACAATCATAACTCCCAATAGTAGTGGCATAAAATAAGGGGTAGATCTCATTTAAGATATTCTCTCCATCTTTACGCCACTGGTAAGATGTCAATGAGTGATACCCATCAACTGCTACACACATCAACAGAGCCACATAATCATCCTGAGAAACCTCAGCTGCAGTCCAGATCCGAAGCTGAGAATCTGCAAGTGTGAAAGGCTGAAATATTGAAAAAGAATTATTTACCTCTGACTGGGGTCCTGTAAATAACTTTTTCATCTTCCAGGTTATAGTCCTCTACCAAATCCAGCACTTTCATTCTAGTGTTCACTGTAACATGAGAAATATTAAACTTACACAGCTTTTGGCATAATGTAAAGTACTGTCTTCTATTCCAACAAGCCATAGATCATAGTGGCAAGGACTTTGAGGGTGAATAAGACAGTAACTTTCACAGAAATCTTCATCATTCTCACTGCACCCTAACTCACGCCCCAGAGCAGCCATCTGTGAAAGGTCTGTGACCATTAAAAACTTATCAGCATATCTGCTTTGCTTAAAGTAGGCAAAGAGTGGCTGAAATGCTGCAGAATAAAGAATTGGCATAGGATTGCAAAAATTAATAACACTATATAACTCCATATAATTATATAGCTATTACTAAGGGATTTCTGCTGCTCCTGTTCTTCTCTTTCCGCACATGCCCGCTGAGTGGGTCTAGAAACTTCTTGGTGGCCCAGATACGCCATGGATTCATCTGGTGTGGGAGCCACCACAGACACTTTTTGGTTCTCCACATCTTTTATGTATAAAGGTACTCTTAATAACTTTTTAAATCTCTTAGTATGTTCTTACATGTACCTTCAATAAACTTCTTGACACAATATAGTCTAGCCTTAGAGGCATATCTAATACTCGACAATCGAATGTATGCTTCCAGGGTCCACGGAATGCACTCTTCTTCACCGTCATCATTGTTGATTTGAATAAAATCGCCACTATGAATACTCATACCCCTACCATTGGCAATATAATATTCGCATTCACTGGATTCTAGATCATCATCAGGGAAGACAACTGATACACACGTTTCTAAAATTCTCCGGTAATTCATGTCCTTTCTAAAAACCAGGCTTTGCGTCACATACTGTCCATCAAGAACCCATTTCTTTCTTTTATAACAGTGGTACATCCTACCAATTGGTATCTATGATCAAGAGGAATACTGTTGTAACAGTCACTTATCACAACATGATACACCGTACCATAACTTGATCTTCATACTCCAAAGACTTATTACGAGCACCTTTCTTTCGAGACTGGACCAGTTGCTTTTTTTTTCTCCGAGCTAATTCATTGTACTCAGAAATAGCTGTGGAATACGTAATAATATTTAGCTGAAAACCCCCCAAGCAAAAACACAATTTTATACAGGGCAGCTTTTAAGTATACAAGTAAAT